TAAGTACTATGGTACTTCTGTTCTGTTTTGATCAGTTCTGATTTCTGATTGCGCGTGAAGCTTAGTGACGCTGGTGAGGTGATTGCTCTCGCCCTCTACCATCTAAACGACGAAATAGATGGCAGATCAGATGTAAAATGTAATCATGTAAGTAATTGCACCTGGTGTGCAGTGCAAGTCAGTGCAATAGGGCGAAGGAGTTAAAATCAGCTAAAGTTGTAAACAATTTTAATTTTAATAAATAAATTTAATTTTAATAAATATTTCCGAACGTTCATGATAATATAAAAGAAAAGATTCATCATTCGTAGATAATGGGTCCGCCGAAGCGATTCAAAAAGGATAATGGTAATTCCTCTTAATTTATTTCCTCTTTCGAGGAACACTCTACCTATAACTCTATTATTGAAAAATTATGTGTACGGTCCGTTACATTTGCCATAAATAAATATTTGTAGATGTACATAAGGTTATCTTGCATAAGCTTGAGCATAAATGAAGTGTTGGCAATTGTTCACTTTTGCAGATAGAGGGAAATGGAAAAAGCGTAAAGAAGATCCTGAAGAGTATCTTAACGATGATGACTCTGTAGATGATAATAATGAAGCAGAAGGTGTACCAGATGCAGCTAAAAATGATGTTGAAAAGCAAGATGAAACAGCATTGGAAGATGAATTTGGTGCAAAAGATTATCGTTCTCAAATGATTCTAAAACCTGATTCTGGGTCAAGACCACTGTGGGTGGTATGACATTAACACCGTATTATATCATGTAATCTTACCTTTCAAAGTTTAATATTATAATCTTAGAGAACATTATTTATTTAGGCACCAAATGGACATATCTTCTTGGAGTCTTTTTCACCTGTTTATAAACATGCACATGACTTCTTGATAGCCATTTCAGAACCTGTATGTCGTCCAGAACACATTCATGAGGTAGACTCATCATTGTAGTTATTGAATGTACATAATAGATAAAAAAGAAGTATTAATAAGTTATTTTGCTTTATAGTATAAATTAACTGCTTATTCCTTGTATGCTGCTGTCAGTGTTGGTCTTCAAACCCATGACATTGTAGAATATTTAAAAAGACTTAGTAAAACTAGTATACCTGATGGAATTATAGAGTTTATAAAATTATGTACATTATCATATGGGAAGGTAAGCGGATTGGTGTGTCAGTAACAACGTATGAATAGTTTTATAATGCACTGTCTCTCAAACAATACTTACTCGCTTCAAACGGATTGTAGGTGAAACTGGTGTTAAAGCACAATAAATATTTCGTTGAATCTCCTTATCCTGAAGTATTACAAAAATTATTGAAGGATCCAGTTATTCAGGAGTGTAGATTGAGAAAAAATATAGAAGATGAAAAGGAAGAAATAATAACAAATGTTCAAAGTAAAACAAAGACTCCACAGGTGATCATTTTACATTAACAAAATAGTAATTTGAGAAAATACAGTATGAATTGCTTTTACTTCTTGTAGTTTGGAGCAAAAGCAACTACCAATGTTCCCACTGGAACAACTAAAGTAACTGAGATTCCTACTGATCAAGTTCCTGCAGAAACGATTACAGTTCCAGAAGACATAACTACCTTCTATGATAAAATGGACAAAGAAGATGAAGATGAAGAAGAGGAACAAGAATTAAAAACTGTTAGCTTTGAAGTAAATCAGGTATGAAACTTTTATTTTGTTTCTGAAGCTCTCTTTTGATACAACAAAATTTTGTTTTAGGAAAAAATTGAAATCATACAGAAGAGATGTATAGAACTGGAGTATCCTTTATTAGCAGAATATGATTTCCGTAATGACACCGTGAATCCAGATATAAAGTAAGCATAGTGATAGGGAACTTAAATGAAACAAGAACTTGTGAAAATTGAATAGTGATGTATTTGCAGTATTGACTTAAAACCATCAGCTGTACTTAGACCTTACCAAGAAAAAAGTTTAAGGAAAATGTTCGGAAATGGGCGTGCGAGATCTGGTGTCATTGTTTTACCATGTGGTAAGTAATTGAATCGCTAGTTTCTTGGATTATAAAATTAATAATTGTCATACCTTGTTTACAGGTGCTGGTAAGAGTTTAGTGGGCGTAACAGCCTGTTGTACAGTACGTAAACGTGCGTTAGTATTGTGTAACTCTGGAGTGTCAGTAGAACAATGGAAGCAGCAATTTAAAATGTGGTCTACAGCTGACGATTCGATGATCTGTCGATTTACGAGCGAGGCTAAAGACAAACCTATGGGCTGTGGAATTTTAATCACTACATATTCTATGATTACACATACTCAGAAACGTTCGTGGGAAGCTGAACAAACCATGCGGTGGCTTCAGGAACAAGAATGGGGAATCATGGTTCTGGATGGTAATCACCACCTGTAATGTACAGAACTGTTACTTAATTGAATTTAGCAAATACATGTCGAAATTTTCAGAGGTACACACAATACCGGCAAAAATGTTCAGAAGAGTTTTAACTATTGTTCAGTCTCATTGTAAATTGGGTTTAACTGCAACTTTGCTTCGAGAAGACGACAAAATTGCTGATCTGAATTTTCTCATTGGTCCTAAACTGTATGAGGCCAACTGGTTGGAACTGCAGAAAAGAGGCTTCATTGCAAGAGTGCAGTGCGCCGAAGTTTGGTGTCCTATGACTCCAGAATTTTACAGAGAATACCTTGGTTGTAAAATGAGTAAAAAGTTGGTGAGTAATTTCATATATTTAATATAATACGGCGTCATTTTTAATTACTTTTTATTTATAGTTACTCTACGTGATGAATCCTAACAAATTTCGTTGTTGCCAATATTTGATACGGTACCACGAAAGGCGTGGTGATAAGACTATTGTATTCTCGGATAACGTTTTCGCATTGAAGCATTACGCCATTAAAATGAATAAACCTTACATCTATGGTCCGACTAGCCAAGTAAGTAAAATAATGATGAAATTTCACTAATTGCGAACTCGATACTAAAGTGGTCATATTAATTTCAGAGTGAACGAATACAAATTTTGCAAAACTTCAAGTTTAATACCAAAGTAAACACCATATTCGTGAGTAAAGTGGCCGATACATCTTTCGATCTACCGGAAGCTAATGTCTTGATTCAAATATCTTCGCATGGTGGTTCTCGACGTCAGGAAGCTCAACGATTGGGTAGAATTTTAAGGGCCAAAAAAGGTATCCATCGCCCACATTGAAGGATTATCCCACTTAAAACGAATAGAATTTGACGTTAAAATTTTATCTTTTAGGAGCTATTGCAGAGGAGTACAATGCATTTTTTTACACATTAGTCTCGCAGGATACAATGGAAATGAATTATTCACGGAAACGTCAACGCTTCCTTGTGAACCAAGGTTATGCTTATAAAGTTATTACAAAACTTGCAGGAATGGATGAGGTACGCGCTGTGTTGCTAAGGAATTAATAAATTTTATATCGAATGTTTAAAATCTTCTTTTCCTTGCTTAAATAGGAGCCAGATCTGATGTATGGAACTCGAGAAGAACAGGGACATTTATTGCAACAAGTTCTGTCTGCTAGTGACATGGATGCAGACGAAGAAAGAATACCTGGAGAAGGACCTAGACCTGTAAGATCTGTTACATTAACTGGGTGCTTAAATAAATGCATTTTATACACATTGTTTTCATTCTATTTAAATTATTGTCTCAGATCATACGTAAGGCTGGTAACATGACATCGATGTCTGGCGCTGATGATGCAGTTTACTACGAGTATAGGAAAGCTCCCGGTTCATCTACCGCAAACAAACATCCGTTGTTTAAAAAGTTCAGGGCGTAACGTTTTTTTTTTAATAGCATGTGTACATAAATGTATTCCTTAGTTGGTGTTAATTGCGTAAATGGTAGAAAGTAATTGTTTGTATATTTAAATTTTGTATACATTTCATATGGAACGATACATTGTGATCGAAATTTCAATGGTATTTTGTTTCCTTAATACTGCTATTGGAAAAGTTGTTACTAGAACGCATTTTTTGAATACGATAATGAATAGTCCGCGCCGTCTATAACAAGCATTTCATACTTCTTAACTCGATGTAAACTTAATACGGTCTCTCGTACGATTTACGTGACAGATATTTCCGATAAATTTATTAGCACAAAGCGATAATAGTTTCGAACCTGTAACAGAGATTGCCGCTCAGTTTGTTGAATGTAGCCTAACTAAATATGTAGAAAATTTTCAATCCGCGTATATTTGTCATGTATATATTAACAGGAAAATATTAAAATTTCCTAGCTATTAATCCAAGTGAGCTTAATATTAGGTGTTAGTAAGGTTTTCAATAGTAATTTTAAAATGTCTCGCAATAAAATACATTTTAAAGATAAACCTAAAACTCACGACTCGTAGTCAACGCTACAATTTTTACTCACTTATTGGACACATATTTAGTTTTAACGTGGAGATTTTTTCCACTGTTTACTCGGTTAATATTTCCTTCCGGTCTAATTTCGTAACTTCAATTTTATGTAAGTATAGACTTCGAAAAACACGATAATCAACGCGCGTAAGTAATTGTATCTCAGATAATGGAAAGTACAGTTTTCCACTAGCGAAAGACACACGTTAACGCTGATTAGAGCATTGACGCATATTCGTTGTTGTAGCACGTTCAGATTTCAGTTCCTTCATAAAAGGAACGGTTACGCGCGCCAGACGCCAGACGTTAGTTGGCTGCGACGGCCGATGACGCGTTTACTCTGAACATAGTCACAAATTGGCCGTGCGAACTGCCGGCTGTCACATGCAGAGCCAGTTATCCAGTCAACGTTTGGCGGTGCATCGTTTCATATCGCGAAGTACGTTCGGATTTGTTGATCTGTTGTTTTTCTTACCCATCGCGACTGAATATTTCTCCCGTGATACAGTCGATACATTCGATACATTCGACGAGAAGTACGGCCTTCAAATATGACATGCATCGACATGGGACGCCAGTGCCGTAGTTGCGAGCAAGCTAGAACAGGACAGGTTCGTGTAGGCGCATCATCGTTATGAAAGGAACCTAGTTTGTCCTGTTTGACATAACCGTGTTGTATCGTGTAGAAGAAGGAACACACAAATCTGCAACGTATCGAGCGCGAAGAAACAAACGCATTTCATATTCTGTCAGCAGTAACAGGAACAAACTGACGTCTGGATAAAATATATCAGTCAGATCCAGGGGAGAAAAAGTTGGTGTGGTGCGGCATTGTTCGAGGGACCGTCGCGAGGGTAGAAGAGCAAGTAACGAGGTTCGCCGCGTCGTAGTCAAGAGGGGCGAAATTCAATGCATTGGTGAAAATTGGGGAGCATCGTGTGTCGGCGGTGGCTGCATCACGCTAAGAGGGTGCTATCCTTGGTGTGTGTGTGTGTGTGTGTGTTGTGTGTGTGTATATATGTGTGTATATGACAGTGATTGGTGAATATAGACGATCCTTGTTCTTTTTAAACGAAAGTGAAAGAAAACGAGAGAGCGAGAGAAAAAACGAAAAAAGAGACAGAGGGTAGAGGTAGAGATAGGGAGCTATACCGTCGGCAGCGTGCCGGCGTTTCGAGTGGCTGTGAGCCCGTGGACGGCCACCCTACCGCGAGGCAAGCTATCGCGTGAATGTATTGGAAGCGGTGGCCGCGTCGTCTCCGTCGTCTCCGTCGTCGCCGTCGTCGTTGTGATCGCCGTGAAAACGGTGCTACACCGTGGAGGTTGTCGAAAATTCAGCACCCATGGACTTGTCTGGAACAATGCCACGGCACGTATCGTGATCGCGGCACGACGGTAACGTCGAGGATGCCGCGAGCATTGTTTTCATCGGACGGAAGGATGGCGAGTATTCAGATCGTCGATGGGTTCGACAGGCAGGAGAGGAGGATCGAATAATAAATCGCGACAACAAGGAGACTGCGAAGGAGGTGCGAGTCTGGAGAGCCCCTCGCCCCCTCCACCTCACCGACCGGAGGTTAGACCTCCGTGAGATACAAGGTTTCTCGCTCGAAGATGAACTCCATGGTATATACCCTCTATGGGTTTGCGATATTCTTCATGATATTCTGGTCGGTACTGTGGATCCTTCATGTGCTGGCATTGATAGCCGGTCGCTGGAAGCTGCACCGTAAAGTCACTCAAGTACCAACCTATGAGACACCGTTGCCCGGCGTGTCGATTATAAAACCGTTGATGGGCGTCGATCCGAATCTGTTTAATAACTTGGAGACCTTTTTCACCATGGAATATCCTCGTTACGAGCTACTGTTCTGCGTGGAGGACGACTCGGATCCGGTGTTGATGTTGGTGCGTAAGTTGATCGAAAAATATCCGGAGGTGGACGCGAGACTGTTTATCGGCGGTCGTAACGTGGGCGTAAATCCTAAAATCAACAATATGCAACCGGCATACGAGGCGGCCAAACATGAGTTCGTGTTGATCAGTGACAGTGGTATCAAAATGAAAGAGGACACGTTATTGGATATGGTCAATTATATGACCGACAACGTCGCGTTAGTGCATCAAATGCCGTTTACCTGTGATCGCGAGGGTTTCGCCGCCGCGTACGAGAAAATCTTTTTCGGTACTGTACAGTCGCGTATGTACCTAGCCGCCGATTTACTTAGAATAAACTGTCACACGGGAATGTCAGCTTTGTTAAGGAAAGCGTCCCTGGACGAGGTGGGCGGTTTGAAAACGTTCGGTGTATATCTTGCCGAAGATTTTTTCTACGCGAAGTCGTTGACCGACCGCGGTTGGCGCATCACGGTGTCCTCACAGCCGGCGTTGCAAAACAGCGGGAACTGCGAACTGCATTCCTTCCAGGCGAGGTTACGAAGGTGGGCGAAGCTTAGAGTGGCGATGCTGCCTACAATGATCGTACTGGAGCCGTTGAGCGAGTGCTTAGTGTTAGGTGCCTGTGCTTCCTGGGCGGCAAGCGTACTGTTCGAGTGGGACTCGCTTGTTTTCTATTTAGTACATATACTGTTGTGGTTTATGTTCGACTGGACGCTGTTATGCGTCGTGCAGAACGGTCCGTTGCCGTTCAACAAATTGGAGTTCGTTTGTGGATGGTTGCTCAGCGAGATAACCAGGCCCTATCTTTTCCTTCAGGCGGTACTAGATCCTCTGATACAGTGGCGGTCGCGCGTTTACAAGCTCAGGTGGGGCGGTGTCGCGGAAGAAGTTAAGGCGAAAGTTAAATACTAAAAACGACCACGAAGGAAACTCAATTTCCGCTTTCTGTCTATCTTTGCCTATAGTCCTTTCTTTTTTAATATAATTAACACATTGTGGACCATGGTACGCTTATCGACAAACTTTTACCTGCAAAATAGATATTTAAGAAATACAGTATTAATATTATCTTCGATTTTATAGTGGTAGAAGGAGGAGGGCGGGAGAATGAACTATTCACTTTTTGCTACCGATCTTGTACCTAACGATAGAATTTTAAATGACATCTTGAGAATGGATTATGTTCGTCATTGTAGGTGGTCCACAATGCGTTAAGATCTCGACATGACCATATTTACAAAATTCCAATACGAGACAGTCTAAATTTGATCTCTAATACCCTTACAATCGGAAATTTCGTAGAATTCTTTTCAAATTTTCCTTTCGAATTGTTATTATTATTATAATAACGTAGAAAATACGTAGGCTCGAATAACTACGCCGTTAAAATCAAAATGCTACCTACAGGCACAGAATGATCGGGAATAACGTTATCTACACCCGGTAGCTATAACACTCGTTGAGTTCAAATTTTAAGAACAGTTGAACACGGTTCGCACGCAAACAACACGGGGCTTCATTTCTAATTCCAACGATTCTCCGACGTTTACGTCGGATTCGTACACGAAAGTGTGACGATCTTTGAGGAAACAAACTAAATTTATGTTGTTAATCACTCGTATTACTCGGTTTCACTTCGGTGTCGCGCAATATTCACTTATCGCTTCGAGTAATGAGGAAACAGTCTAATTCCACATTTAAATTTTATCTGTAGCGTATCCTACGGTGATTCGGGAGAACAAACGAAGTAACATAAAAGAAAATAAAATGCCAAAACTGTTGTTTGTTGGTCGCGTGCCGCGTTTATCTTTATTAACACATATTCGAGGCAACGTGTTTTGGTGTTCGCCGCGTTAATGCTCCACCGTATACTGTCCGCGTGACGTGTGTGTGTATGTGTGTGTGTGTGTGTGTGTGACAACATACCGCACACCGGCAACCTTTTTTGCAGTCGTTCCGAAGAACTCTGAACATTTCACATAAGCCTACAAGTATTTATTGTATATTTATTGATTAATTTATATTTATTAATTAATTTTACAAGTATTTATTTTATATTTTAATTATATATATAACAATGAAAAAAGGAATAATACAAATTCATTAAGTGGAAGGTGTTGTCAAGTCTGAACTGTCTTGTACAATCTGAGGCGTTTGGTCATGTTCATCAATTTCAATATCCATCGTACAACAGCGTGGTTGTTTTTTTTATAACATCCAATATATTTGCTATTACGATATGCTTGTACTATATTAGGAGATAACAAAATACGCGCCGTATACGCACGATACACACGCGCGCGCGCGCACACACGTCCACACACACACACACACACACACACACACACACACCGCGCGCGTGCGCGCGTAAAAGCCACAAATAATGCGGGAATGTTACCATGGACTGTGCATTTACATAGATGCACGTGTCTTACGTAGATATGGCAATCATGCGACACGCAGAGGAACGCACGTGCGATCACGGTTTTCAATTATGCGACATATACATATAGGTACTATCTTTGCCAGCTCGTGACAATGTATTCATTGATCGTGCAATGTTTTTTTCCTAGGCGTATCTCTCTTTTTATCTACGGTAGGATATATAAGCGAATAATGGAGTTATTAATATTTTCATTCATTTGGGTGGATTGGTGTGTGTGTGTGTGTGTGTGAGTGGGGGGGGGGGTGGGGGCTGTGAATAAGTTCGACCTTAAAGTCCCTTAACACCGTTACAGTATAATTTATGAGTTCTAAAATGAAGCGATTCCCTTGCGAAAACAGTTGCGAAGATACCTTAGTCGGTTTTACATCTTGGTGACCCCAGTGTCGCCATCATTCGTGAAGTATTTATTTCGCTTATCGGTGTAATATACATAGTTATATGTATATACTCTTTGTTGCTTCAACTTTCCGTTCAGTGTCCACTTTTTCCCCTCATTACGTTAGTCTCAAGTAATCGGCTGGTCTCTTAAAATGAACGAGGTGACAAATATTATTAAATCTACCTTTTCGTCTGAAGTAATCGAAGTTTCAGGAAGAAAGTAGCCGTATGAATTGCGTTTGTGGCACGAAGCGCATTGTTTTCCTGTATCGCTCTTGTGAACTGATAAAATCGGGTGAAAGTGGTATTCGCTAGTGGTATTGCTGAAAACAGAAATACGCGGGGCAACGAATCTGCATAGATGGCGCTGCGGGCGCATCCGCATTTAAATTTACTCTATCACGAAGATACCGGCGCTTTATTGAAATCCACGATCGTTCGCGTACCAAAAGGGAACGTTTTGAAGTGTTTCATGGAATGTTTTCGGAATTTGTATTTTTCAAAACAATTTTCGTAGTTGTGCAGTTAAATTTTTTGTTACGTTTGCACGATTTCGATCAGAAATGTCGATGTGAATTACGACGAAAATTTATCAGTGGCTCCTGTATTTCTTGTATGTTTGTGGGTAACGTACAACGGGTGATCATGCGGTGAACGATATTATATCGTACCCAGAGAAACATGCAGAGTATGTATTTTCTAGAAACTAGAAAATAACGTTTTGTCTGTGAGGAATATTACAATTTTATTCAAATTTCGTTTATAATTGTTTTACGTTAGAAGGTCAAATCTAGTCCATGGTAATTCGATATGATACGAGCGTCTGTGCGGTACGAGCTTACCTCTCGCGATACACAAATGTTCCATGTTGTTTTATTACATTCCACGTCGCGTGCATATCGCGACGATCGCGATTTGACCCTTGTTTTGAAACGAAACCAACGACTGACTAGTCCTTTTCTGCCTTCGGGGTGAGAGGGTGGGGGGAGGGGGGGATTATCTTGTCTTCTGACTGATGTTTCTTCTTATATATATTTTTTTTCTTATAAAGGTCGCGTAATTGTAATATGTATTTCCATTGTTCACGAGAACGAATTCGTGCCATTCGATTGGAATTCAAGCAACGGACTTATTTTATGCGATGTCCGACACCGATATGATCTTCCTGGGTTCTTCTTCTGCCGTGTTATTCGCATTATTGGACAACAAAAGGAACGATCGGGATGCAAGAATAGCGGGAAAAATGTATTAGCGGTGTGTTCTGAATTGTTATTTACGTTTTTAACGGTCGAATCAATAATATAATGATTAACCAGATTTTTGTTCTTGGTATTATTATGCAGTATAAATCAATGCATTCGCAAGTGGAGAAACAGCGTTTGTATTGTAACGGTACACGTGATAAAAAATTGTACATAATGTTTTTTTTTATTTCTATGTTAAAATAAACGATTTTTATATCCGGAAGCTCGTATCAAAAAATGCTCTTCAAGTCGAAATTCCCGTACCTCCCCCTTTCTATTAGTCATTATTCGAGATTAATTTATTTCAACGAAATGATTCGTTTTAGATTTAATATAAATTGTCTATAAAAATTGTTCTCGTTATCACGAAGAGGTCGATTTTTTCCCCTTCTTCTTTTCGTCTCTTTTAAGATACATGATGCGCGACGTCTTAAGATCAGTTGCGGGAAAGTTGCGGATTCAGTAAGTTCTCTGTGTCGAGCGGTAGCGCTTCACGAGAAAAGTGAATCTAAAGCTTTCGAACCCTGATACACTTTTGTCGGTCGAGTGGTAAACAAATCGAGATATTTAAGAGGCTCTGTCGTTCGTTTAACAAGCACAACCAGCAATTCGTTAAGTTGTCCCCACGCATCGGTGCTGTTTGCCGCGCGCGCGCACCTAACCTTACTGCATTGGGAAATCTACATCAGCGACGTACAGACACGAACGCACATACCGTGAAGAGAAGTGTATTTACATTTCACCAGTACGTATAATAATACGAATATACCGATGTTGGTCTCATGTCGTTCTTGTGGCTTGTTGTGGCTGTGGGACTGTTGAATGGGCGATGGCCTTTATACTGACGTGAATTACGAAGGGGATTGGAGAAATTACAAGTAACGGATAAATGAACACTCGAACAGTATTTCAACAACACTGTTATGTAAAACAGTATAGACATTTTTTGAAGATACAGATGTTACGCCGCGTACTAGTACTAGTATTTACAAAAAAATATGAGGGGAAAGTTTTATTTGGTTTTATAAAGGAGCAAAGACTACGATAAGCAATAATTTTTCTCATGGTCATATTTTTTGAAATATCAAGGTTTTCGATGTTTTTTTAAATGGGATTACATATTTTTATCAGCGTGACGTAATAGTTGAGATCAAGACCAATCCAGTGATCTATAATAGTGTGACAACTGTGGCGAAATATCACGAGACATTTTTAACAAATTGTGTCGCAACGAAAGAAGTCCTATTATCATTAAGGCAAAGTGCGTATATGCAGAAAATTGACAAATGACTTTACTGAGGTATGTTAGTGAAAAAATGAGTCACTTGATGGAAAACTAGGTGATTGAAAACATCGTAAAATTTTAAAAGACAGTTTGCAACATTTCTTCATTCATTTTCTATATTATCACAATTGAAAAACAAAGTGTTATCGCGTATGTATATAGCTAAATTACTTATTTTGATTAATAAAAATAGTTTCGAAGAGTAACACCAAGGTATTTCACAGGTGTATCATCATGCGCCAGAGCAGTATCAACTTGTCCCCCCAGTGGGTAAATTGATACATTTTGATTTCATGAAACCAACAGTTTATTCATTTATTTTATATGTATTTTCTTGAATTTTCAAAGTATATTTTAGCATATTTGTTACTAAGTAATTAATTCGAATAAAAATGATAAACATCGAAAATTGGAAAGCGTATCAATTTGTCCGGGTTTCCCCCAACAGAGCAACACTCATTAATGTTTCCAATAATTATACAAAACATATATTAGTTATCGATGCTTTAGAAATTCTTATACCCGTGTTCAATAACACGCCACTCGTATCAGGTTCTTGG